ATATTTTTTTCATTATATGATTAATAATTAAATCATATTTTCTATATTTAAAAACAAATAATTTAATAAAGTAATTTTTAAATCAAATTTTATTCTTATGCAAAAAATATTTAATCCTTTTTTGTTTTGCAGATCTATCTGCGCCATCCATTCCTCCGTGACCCCGGCTTTACCAGCATGGTATGTCCTCGGTGATCTTGTCTCACCCTATCATTCTTACTTATCCGTACTCTTTCTTTCATAACCATTGGCCGTTTGTGCATTCTTTCTTGTTTAACAGTTACTGGAAAAAGATAAACCATCAATGCAAAAGTCAGACAAAAAGGCGAAACGCTCACTGAACCTTAGTGCGTCGTCTGACCTATCACCGAGTAAACTTGTTAACTCTAAGAAGCGTAAAAATCGTGATTCATCTTCAACTGGTGGACATAGCAGCATCAAAAAGGCAAAGATCCAGCCTGTTAAATTCGAATCGGATTGCCAGCAAGATTCCGACTTTGAGGTAATACTAGAACTAATTATATTTTTCAGGCCAAGAGTGTAGAATCAGAGAGTGAGGAGTGCATTGCCATGCAATCTCAGTCTAGCAAAGCCGATAGTAGTCCTGTGTATCCCTCAAAGAATTCGTCATTTAAGGGTGCACAAAGTGTATGCGCTAGCCCTGATCGCTCAACCACAAGTTCTTGCTTGCTTCTAACTAACCTTGTCGGAGCTATTAACGAGAAAGAATTAAGAGATTTCTTTAAAGATTTACCCATCGACTACATCTCAAGAGTTTACTCTCCTCTAGTTTGCATCACAGTTAAATCTAAGGATCTTTCAAAAAAAGTTATAGAAACATGTCGGGAAAAAATGTTTTCAAATAGGCGTCTTGGCGCGATCGAGGTCTCTGGGGACGTTGAGGCACTCTTCTCCTCACCCAGCTTGCCTACTGTCCGTGTTACTAATATACCTCATAAATACGACGCTGTAAGTGTTGTTTCGCTCGATTGTTTAAAAAAAATTTGTATTATAAACGTTCTTTAGGCGTTCTTTACGGACCTCATTCCTAAAGATATTAAAATAGTTGAAATTCGATTTGCTCCCGAAGATCAAAATAGTACTTGCTTCATTAAGCTTTGGTCAAATAAAGACGCGGATATTCTGTGCAACATCATTAATTCCCAGACAGATGTGCCTTTTCAGGCTGTGATAAGTAATTGCGCTTAATTCACTAGTTTTAGGTTCTTCCACCCCTGTCGGCTCTTCCACTATTACCCTCTCTGGATTGCCTGAGGTTTCGGAACACGAAATTAAATTATTGTTTCCATCCGCTGAATCGCTTTCCTTGTTTGTCACCAAGGGGGGACAAAGGAAATGCTTTGTCAAATTTAAGGATTCAAAAACTCGCGACTCTGAACTCATAAGATGTGCAAATTTGGAGATATCTGGAACCAAGGTTTGCTCGTTTCAATACATTATCGTTGTAGGTCCAGGTTAGACCCTCCAAGGATGTTACTTTCTCACACAAGTTCGCTGGAAATGAAAACGCCATCAAGATCATGATGAAAAAATCCGGATCAGCTACAATGCCTCCAAAGAATTTTGGACTTCATCGTTTAGTCAAGCTCAGCGAAAGGTATTCATCTTGAATACACTATTTTTAGGTTATCTGTTTCCATTTTCTCTTCGCATCAGCATTTTTTAAATGCGTTTGAAAAATTAAAAAGACAGCCACATCTTTTTGTTTGCGGCTATTTTCATATCCCTCCCAACGCTCTGTTTGCGTGCAATTTGCCATTTAGTTTGCTCGACCCATCTAAAGAGTTTCCTGGTGCCATTTCTGTTAAGCCCATTGTTTCAGACAAAGGATATTTTGGGTAAGATATCTCTTTTACCATCACTCCTTGTTTTAGTGAGGTCATCGTGGACTTTAAAACATTTGAGGATTGCAAATCATTCATATCTAACAATCCTAACTTAAAGGTTCAAGATCGATACATTAAGATGGTTCCAGGTACATTAAATCTTGCATAACTTTCCTCAGCCAACACGCTTGCATTTACGGATTCCAGAGCCAATCAAGAGTCTTTCACTAAGCCCGGTATTTTGTTTAATTTCACAATTATTTATTCATCCTTGTATTTTCCAACCTACAGATTACATCTTAATACATTGTTGATTATTGCATTCCTCTTTAGGTTTAATTGCTGGTGATAAAAAATCGCAAAATCACTTGGCCAAAGACGGTCATTATAGGTTTGCAAATAGCTCTCAAAATATCAAAAGGTCTAATAAAATTGAATCTGGCCTTAGCAAGGATGAAGATGTTAGTGAGGACGAAGATGAAGATAATACTAAGCCAGTTCGGGTACGTAATAGTTTTGTATATTGTTGCCTTTCCATATTAATTCGCTGATTATCTTTTTCTTTAATCAGCCAACAGGAATCGATGCAGATGAACAAGATGAAGAAAGTGACGAGCAAGGCGATGATGATGAAAGTGATTTTGAGAAAGAGGATGAAGATGAAGACGAATTAGAAAGTGATCAGGATCAAGAGAGTAATAAGCTGAAACGGATTAAGAGCAAACCGAAGGCTCAAAGCAAAGGTGGAAAGTTTGATGTCAATGATTCTGAAGAAGATGGTGAGGCTGATGAAGATGGTGAAGCTGATGATGATGAAGATGATGATGATGGTGACGAAGAAGAGGAAGATGATGATGATGCCGAAAATGAAGATGAAGACTTTGATAATGAGGAGAGTGATGATGCAGATGATGGCCCTTCCAAACCGAAAATTGCTTCTAACAAGTTCACTAATTTTGGCAATCGTGGCAGATCTTTCGATAAAGCATCAACCTATGGGTCTCGGGGAGCTCGTGGATCATTTAGAGGAGACAGAGGTGGAGCTGATTCACGCGGACATGGTTTCCGGGGTCCACGTGGTCGTTATTTTAGTAATGATCGTGGAGGTCGGTCCCGGGGAAACTTCCGTGGAAGGTCACCTGGGTCCAGAGGAAGGGCGAATAGCTCTTTTCGTGGGGGCAACAGTAATCGTTTCCAACGTGGCAGTACTTGGGGAAATCGTTGATTCAAGGATTTTGTGCACTTTTCTTATTTTTAAATAAATGTATGATTTGGATGTTCCTGTTTTGAAAATATGTGCGATGTTTTTTGGTGCATGTGCTTTTTTAACCATATTCTCGGATCCTTGAAGATCACTTGTCAAATAAAACACTGTTTCGCAATCGAAACGAACTCATCATTTTACATCCCTTAAGTTATTGGTTAGTTCAGTTTGCATACGCGATTCTCGCAACGCTACGTTTGACGTCTCTACATGCTCT